GTGCTTTTGTACAGCGTCAATATAACACACTGCAAAGCCCAAAAGGCGCAGCGCTCCATCGGCTTTCATGGCCAGCACCAGTGCGGAGACAACCTGAAGGAGTTCCATTCCACCAGGCATGAATTTCAGCTGACGTTCTGCTGCAGCCCTCACACCACTGACATCAGGAACATAAAGGGGTTTGGTTGGTGGCTTTGTTTTTTTGGTGGGTTTTTTTGATTTTTTTTTATTTTTTATTATTATTTTTTATTTTATTTTTGTGGAAACCTTCCTCCCCCCGATCAGTGGAACAGGGGGAGGAATCCTTAGCTTACTAATGTCCCTAACTTCCATCAACAGATTCCACCTAATTATCTGAAGTGCCCAAACACTGTTGATGCTGGTACTGATGCCTGCAAGAACCTAACTATAACTCGTTCCAATGGCCGTGGAATCTCAGCCCAAGCTTACAGAATACCCGCGTCTTCAGGTCCATCAGCGTAGTGGGTCCCCTGCCCCGCCGCCCCCAAACCTCTCCTAACAGATCAGCCTCGAGGCATTCACACCGCAAGCGAGCGCCTCCTTGCTCTGGGACACAAAAAGGTGTTCCCCAGCATTGCGTAATTTCTTACGGCTTTTGTAAATACAAACTGTGATAGCCACGAAGCCCTTTATCGCTTTGAATAAACCAGTAGCACCGAACACATACCAGAGTATAGGTGAGGGCTACACAGGGTAAACATACACCTGTGTAAAGAAGCGGAGACCTCTCTGCCTGCCAAGTTCAGCAGATCATAAGACTTGCCTTGGATTTCAGGTGAATTCTCCTCTACAAGAGCACAGAGCATTCCCCAGTACTGCCAAAACCCACCAGCAGCCTGTTGTGACCTTTCCTTGCAGCCCCCGCTCACGTTTTAAAACTATCCACTACCTCATACATCCTCTTTCTCACATAAACTTTTCTGGATCAAGTGTTTGAATGGCAGTGGTTAATAAGCAAATATATGCAACGCTTCTGTCCTGACAGGTTCTTTTTAGAGAATTGACCTCCCGGATCGACTCGACATCGGGATGACCTGCAGAAGCCGATCGGAGATGGACAGGAAATAGGAACCTCATCTCATGGCACCACACCGAGTGACCTGGCACACCTGGGAGAGATTCTCCTCCCGGCACAGGAATGTGCAGGTTTTGAGACTGGATGTTTTTTAATCCTCCTCCTCCCACTCCACGGGAGTAAAGTAGGAGATGTTTTACCCTGCTTTTTTGTTTTGGTTTTGTTGCATTAGTTTTATTGTTGGTTTTTGTTTGATTGGTTTTGTTCTACTTTTGTGGTCTTTGATGTTGTGTGGTGCTTTTTTGTTTGGGTTTTGGTTTGGTTGTTTTTTGTTGTTGTTGCTGGGGGTTTTTTTGCACAAATAGGATCAGCTGACTGCATATCCAGAAAACACAAACAGAAGGTTGTCTTCTGGCAAAGGCTGCTTTGTCAGGGTCCAGACGTGGCAGCAGAGCTCCCACCGGCACCATCAGGTGAGAGCACTGACACCGTTCACTGCATCTCCTGGAGGTAACACCCTGTCCTCGTGACACGCAGAAGGCCCTTACATTAAGGGCTGAGCCTTGCTGTGGGTAATACTAGAACTAGTACTACAAACTAGTACTACAAACGAAGTACTACAAAAAGCTTTGTCAAGATTTCTTTCCTTTGTCAAGAAAAGACTCTAAAAAACTTTTCAGAAGCTGAATGAGCGTGATCTTCACAGAATCACAGAATTTTCAGAGTTGGAAGCGACCTCTAGAGATATGCTGTCACATATGCGTGCGGTGATCTTTGAGGTGGACCACGAAGCTTTATACAGACTTATCTGGACAGACTGAGAGAAGTTAGTCTTAGGCTGACCAGTGTTTTGTAAGGAATCCCAAGGATTTAATTGAATTGTTCATCGGCTCAGACAGACCCAAGTCACTTGGGGTCATTCAAAGGAGGATGGGAAGTCCTACAATGACTCCCTGCTGTCTCTCTCATGTTTTTCAGTCCAACTTGTGTGACTTGGAAGCAAGCCCCATGGCTTGCACTGCCTTCATCTCCAAAGGAGGAGCAGGTTCCAGATACCACACAGGGAACAGAGAAGCACAGAAACCATGCAAGTGTCTCACCTGCTGAGCACAGACAGGACCCTGCAACGTCAGCGTTGCTTGGCAGCAGTCTCACCTTTCCAAATAAGCCGTGTTTTCTTTGGGTAGGCTGGTCTTGCCAGCAGCCAGCGTACATGATCTTAGAACCCAAGTGCAACCTCTGTAAATGTACAGAATTTTCTACAGCCCTCGTAATAATACACATAACGCTGTCAAGGAACAAAAAACCTAAACATAGTTTCATAAGGGAATAGCTTCTCTCTGTTTGTTCATTAGGTGCACAATAGTAAAACACAAAAACGCCTTTTGTGTGTATTTATGATCGCAGCCAACAGGTTTATGTTCTGAGTCACCCTTAGAAACACATTCCCACACCAAAGTGTATTAAGAAAACATGACGGGGTCTCCCGTAAACCAGCAAACTGCAGGAGAGTCAAAGTGGAGGCTGAAAATTGCACACTTGATGTACTTAGTTATATCTAGGTATGTACTGAAGATCTGCAGTAACGCTCGCTGTTCCAAAAGCCTCTGATACATAACCAGAGGCTGTTTTGGGGACCCAGCCACGGTGTCGCTGCAGGAGCCTTGGGAACCGAGACCAGCTGTCTTCATTTTGATGGGACACTTACTATTTATTTTTTATTTTAATTTTAAAAGCTAGCCCGTAATTTATTTACTCCGCATGTAACTCGCCAGGCAGAGCACTCAGTGCTTTCTGAACCCAAACTTTGCTCAACTCAGCTGTGGTGGCTCCTACCTGTGTGTTTCCACAGCCCCTCAACAGCCGTGTAAAGACATGGCGCAAGAGCAGAGAGGGGAACCCAACGAGCTCCAACATACAAAGATGCGCCTCAGAGCATCAGAAAAAGGAAAAAAAAGAAAAAATTCACAAAAAAAACCTCTTTTGGTTTAGTCAACCCAAGGAGTTTAAAAAAAAAATTAATAATAATTTTAAGCATACGAACCTAATTCTACCTTTTTCTGTCCAGGTTTCTCCAGATCGAGTTTCACCCAAGGAGGGGAATCTCTTGCAGAAGCTTCTAGCTTTCAGACTCACTGGATCCAGTTGGGGTGCTCAGTGTCCATAAGACCACGACGCCTATCGCTGACCTCAACTCTTCCCAGTGCCCCCTCGAGCGCAGCGAGGGGGCTGGCGCCGACCCCCAGGGAGGTCCCAGGCAGCCCCAGCGCCGGGCTCTGCCCTCCTGCCTGCACAGAAACCCAGAAATACCTGTGGGGATAAACCGGGCGCCCTTCCCTGCGCTGAAACGGCTCTGCATAAATCAGTAGTGCCCCCATCTGTAAAAAGAATAAATTACATTTCCTTCATAGGATGCTCTGAAAACTGCAGCCAGAAAGGGAACCGCCAGAGTAAGGTGCTACAATAAGCAATTGCGCTTTTTTTGCCCTTTTTTTTTTAAACAAAACAAACCAAAACACATTATGGTAAATATGGGGAATAGTTCACAGAGCGCTTGCATTTTCAAGGCTAAAACGTCACAGCGTTGTTCCACCCTACCTTATTTCTGCCATACATTTAACCTTTTGTGTCCGATTTCTCCCGTAGAAATCCCCAAACACCCCACAAGCAGCGCAGTTCCCAGGGTATTTGTCAGGCAGCTGAAACCACAAGGTGTTTGAAGCTTCATGAGGAAGCTTGCTCACATATGTTATGGAACCACACTTCAGGCAGCATTTCCTCTGCAAAGTCTAGAGATTAATTAGCTAGCCATAAAAGAGTAAATATCAACCCTAGGATTATGGCAGGGAGGGGAGTTATGCCTTCACTTCAATTAGGAAAGTTGAAGGGAAGCAAAAAAACTCATTAGCACGTGCCTGATGAACTTCCTACGCAAGCAGCACTAGGGTATAACATCACCATCACTTCTGACTTCCAGAACACCCAGCGCTGCCTTTGCAGGTACTTTTACTATTTCTCTTTAAAATGAGCGGCAACCTGGCAGGCAGAACCCCAGGCTCCTGCTAGCCCATAAGGAAGGCGAGCGACAGCACTGTTGGAAGCACGGCAGTAAGACCAGGATGACCGCTCTGGGCTCATTTTCACTTCTGTTATGCAGTTTAAATGGAACCAAATTGAACTTATTTGGCCGAACTCAAAACTTGTCCCCTCGTACAGCACGCAGGCACAAACCCCTCTTAGTGCAAAACTTAAGCTATTCCAAAGCCATGGATACGGGACCGTGCTCCCTTTAAATTGCAGGATATCGACGTAGCTGTATTCACAAGTGGCAATTTAAACGTCAGCACAGTGTCCCCGCAGCACACCTACGTGGTCGCGTGGGAGCGACAGCAGGCGAGACTCCCGAGAGGGCTCTGCCCGCTTCGCCCTGGTCCGGCACGGCTGCGGCCAGCACGGCGCCCGGACAGCCCAGCGAGCGCCTGCCAGCTGGCCGAGCCCGCAGGCACGTGGCCACATTACTAACGCGTTCCCGCGGTAGACCCAACATAAGAGGCACTCCACCAAAATTCGGCAGAGAAACTCCACTGCGCCAATGTTTACGAGTTTCAAAGAGCTTCTCCCAACAATCCCCCTGCATCTTCCTCTCTTTAAAGCACGCATGGGAAGGAACTTTTTGCAGGAATGTACAACTATTTATGTAATGGAAATACACTTCACGAGATGTTTTCCCTCATGTGTCTTTCAGCTCACCACTTACCTTTGCAGACTTCTGGGCAGTGTTTTCATATGCTTCACTTATTTAAAAAAATAAATTAACATCAACAAGTTTCTACATTTCAAGAAATCTCTCCTAAAGCAAATAATCTTTTTCAAATGTTCCATGTGAAGTGTTCCTGTAAAAGACTTTTTCTCCTATTCAGATTGACTTTTAAGATTTTAGGATTGTGTTCTCACAGGTACTCACAGAAATTTTTCCAGTACGATTGCCTTCCTCTCTTTCTGCCAGGGCCCGCAAGAAGTTATCTTTCAGTTCTCTTCCTACACTCGCTAGCGACCTAGGGGAAAAAAAAAAGGTATAATTATCGCTATTAATTATTGCCGCAGTCTTTGGGTTCACTGTTTGGTCAAGTGCTATGTTACTGTGAGGAGACAGTCCTCACCCTGTCGTAGCTAATTTATCCACTGCCTGTTCTGCTTTTACAAACCCTTAAACCACTCTTCAAAATTCATCGCTGCTGCAGATGTACAATATAATAGTAGTTTATCAAAAGGTGACTTCTACTAATACAGATTTTCAATTATATTATATTATGCTTATTTTATGTCTCCAGAATTATGGCCAAAGTCACGTTTACACAAGAACACCAAATTTTCACAGTGTACCAATATAAACTTAAACAGATTTAACACCCTACTCTTCAGCCAGCAACTGATCGGATGAACTACGACATACTTCGACTGCTTGGTGTGGTAGGGTCAATATAATTTCTGTATGCTTAAGTACAATGCACGAAAGAAAAAAATCAGCCCAATTTTGCTTCAGAAAAATTGGGGGGGGGATCACAAGAAAGGATAACATACGCTAAAATGTGCTTATTAGCCTTTGAACATCGCACGCTAGAACTCAGCCGTTAAAAGCATACAACCTGCATCAGATCGACAAAAGCACCGAATATTGGACAAACCCTTCAACAAAAATGTGATTCTTCAGAAGGGTTTCCTCAAGTCTCCGAGCCCAACCCAGAGCCCTGCTCCCCTGCAGGGTCACCGCACTCGCTCCAGTGTCCTTCGCTCGCACAGAAGGAAGCGGAGACTCCCCAAACCCTGCACGGACGCCGCTCCACGGGGGCTTTTCTCCTTTTAATGCCCCAAGTAGCCAATGCGGACTGAAAAGCGTGCTCTCAGCCAACCCAAGGCAAACCAGCGCCTCCCAGTTCAGCGCACATCTACCCCACGAGTATTACGCCCCACACACTATCTCAGTATGAATATTTCAATGAAAAGCAGTAACATTTGTAAATATAAGTAGATAGAATACAGCATCAATGACGATCTTTTTATGAAGTGTATAATGTATCAAGTTTCAAACAGAAGAGTGCCAGGAAAACTGAAAAATTCCCTTTGGTAAGTTTTTAAGTATAGACATGCATGGTCATGTCCTTAAACTGAGTAAAAAACCTGCATCTAAAACTGATGTAGAGCTATCGGGTCAATCTCTGGGCACGTTACCAGCTGTTATCCAGAAATACATTCGTTCAAAGCTGTTTCAGAAGTGCATCTGCGGCACTGTGAAAATAAAAAATGAAAAACTAACATACGGATTAAAACACCTCAATTAATTAGATGTAAAGGACACATAAGAAATCGAGTATCAAATTTTCCTTTTCCTGTCCAGTTAAGAATTCTAGATGCCCAAAGTCTTCCTTTGACAGAGATCAATACTAAATCAACAGTAAATCCGTGTTTAACAGCCATTGTAGCCAACTTCACCTGACTTTTGTGGCTCCTATTCTGAAACAGAAGAAGGGTGTGCGGACCTGAAATAATGTGTTTTAATCCAATTAAATCTGATGTTCCAGTAAGACACTCTACCTTTCCTTAAAAACCTTCTCTTCTTCCCATCCTTTAATCGCCAGTAAAATAATCACTGACCCACTTGTAGAGTACTAAGACATAAAAACCTTCTTTTTTAGCAAATATCATCACTTCTGCATTAGAACCCACCGATCCATGCCTGAAATCAAGCCGCACTGTTTCTGAAAAATACGAGGTCTCACTGGATGGCCCTATCTAGGTGAAAAATCACGGAGCGTTAAAACACAGACCTAAAAGATCGCAGGTGCATCACATGCCTAAGGCAGCAGCTCTTCACAACCCCTGAGATAATTCCAAAGGGCGGCATCGTGCCTTACCTGCTGCGCTGACTGCTGGGGCTCTGTTTCACCGAGTCTAACTTCTGAAAGATGCCGGATGAGAAAAGCAGCATCTGATACGTATCTATTTTCTGTAGGCTATTCTCAGCAACAAAGTCTCCCCTGCTCTGTAGAAGATGCTTCAACATCCACAGAAGGAAAAAAAAACAAAAAATAACGTGCATTTGACTAAAATAAATTCTTTGTCCTATGGCCCACAAGAAAAACCGTCAACAGGAATATCATGGCTGAACAAAACATTAGGAATGCAACACATCATGGCTGACGTGACACAGAAGCAAAATCCCCTGGAGCAGAGGTTAGTATTAACCGGCTGCTTTTTTGTAATGAAGAGTGGGGTGGGACAGAAAACACACACATACACATCCCCCCCAAAAAAATTAGCAAAATTATGCTCGAGTCATATCTGACAAACGACTGAAATATTTGCTCATTTAGAAAAACAGTTTCAGAAATATATCATCATTTTACCCTTAGGACAACGTCCCTACTGACATAAAAGTACAAATAAAAAGTTAATGGGACCCCTGAGCGCAGAAACAAAACGTGACGTGTGTCCTCTGTATCAGACTCTGAACCTCCTCGAAATACTGTTTAAATATATACTATTACTGCATGAAGAATAACAGAAGGTATCTCTGTTGAATCTGAATCACAAAGAAAGGAGAAATAGGCTCAGGCTATTCTGAGATAAACCCTTATAAGTTTAGAAAATGCGTGTTAGAGAGAACAAGGAGCCAGAATCCTAAATCTCTGGATGTAGAAGCACCAAACAAAGTATTTCCCGAGGTAGGGACAAAGAACTCCTTGGTAGGTCTTCCACTTTTTTTAACCAGCGAGACTTTACTCCTTTATTTCCTGCATGAAAGCGTATGTTATTTCTTTGAACCTTGGTCTTTTTCACTTCTTCGCCCCCTGGGACGTGCATTCTCGCCCTCGGAGATCCCTCTTCTCCCCTCCACGCTTGCCCAGGCAGCAGAAGCGCACCCTTGACCCTAAGGGAGACTTTCAACTAAGGTAGTTAACACAGCACAAAAGGTCACATGGATATCCTTAACACTGGCTTAAACCAGGTTCATTTCAGTATCAAACGTATCAATTAGGAACTGACCTGACTTCAACTGTCTACAGGGAATTGCGAGCTTCTGCAGACACAAATTTGCATTGCACATCTTAAAAAAAAAAAAATAAAAAAAATCAGTGTGACTTGATTAAGCCATACATAAAGAATGGCAACCTTCCAGAGACGTAAACGTACACAGAATTGGTTTTAAAAATTTCCAATTATACACGGTTCTCATCTGAACGAGGCCACAAAAATCACTGGGCAGGCGCAGCATTTCTGGGAACGCTGTATGAGCGTTTGCCACTCGCCCGTTTTTGAGGACCAAATCAGACTTTTCTCTCTGTGCCACAGCAGCACGTCCCTTCTCCGCACTCCAGCTCACCTCCGCAGCGGAAGGCGCAGGAGAACATCACGGCATCCCACTCTGCAGAAGTTCCCCCCACGCACAAAGAGGCTGAAATTTTGGGTTGTGACTAGGAATGCCCGATGGCCACGCAGCTCTGTCCCACTGGGACGCCCGGTGAGACGAGGGACATCTCCGGGCAGACAGGAGCAGCGAGGACTTCTCCAGCACACACTGCACGCTACGCCTATCTCACAGGGGTTGCTTAACCTGCCATCACCTACAAATGGCTCTTTAAATGAATTTTTAAAAGAAGTTACTTCCTAAAATCTGTATTAGGTCTTTCACAAAGCTAGAGGATTACAAATTATATACTATATATGTTATTAACATGCCTGCAGGTTACAACAGCCCTTGAAAAGGAGAGCACAGACTATGTATTATTAGCCTAAGTTTATGCATCTCCAGCATCACAGGCATCACCCTAACATTCACGCACTGCCCGAAACTACTCCTACCACCCGGTTCGTTCCTCAGCATTCTCACCCAGGGATGCTTTACAGGGAACGCCAATTTACGAGGCAGCACTCTCTTCACAAGGCCCTCTCACGCTAACTGCCGTCACCTCTGCTCGTCACTGCACACTTCTGAACGATATTTTTAATTATGTCCTGCACCACATGGGGAGAGAGCAGGACGTCACCACGTTTGGTGCTGTACAACCCTCTCGTATTGCTGACCTCTGAAACCAAACCCCCCCGACACAGAAAAGCCAGGGGAAAACACTAATATACAGGAGAAAGTGACTCTTCTCATTGTTCAAATGGGAATCTGAGACATGCAAAGATTAAGTGACATCTGCAAAGACAACACGGAATGTTTCTGCAAAGACAACACGGAATGTTTCTGCAAACCCGTTATTATTGTCACCAGCCTGGAGGCAAACAATCCATAACTACTTGTATTGAATATTAACTTCTATATTAGCTTCTCCCCTTCTGGCGGTAGGCTTTTCCCGCGCGTACATCTGCAGAAACGTTAACAAGTAACACCCTCCCTACAGCACCCTTCGGTGGAACCAACAATGACCAGAACCATCACAGGTTAGCAAAACCAGAAGGGATAGTTTTCTCTAGGGACTTGTTGGGGTACAGACACTCCTAGTGATGTTAACACCATTAACTGTTGCTTGCTGGTTTTCATTCCATGAACATAATTCTTATTTTATGTTTCTCCAGGTTTCACTTTTGAAACTCTATTTCCACACTGTCTTGTTCCTTCCAAGGTGCTCTCCTCCTTCCAGGAGCTCCCGGTACGCTCCACAACCCCGCAGTCCCTGCTCACATTCCCAGTTCAGACACCTTCTCCTTGCACCATGCTTTTTGGGGCTTCTCTGACAGGTGTTACTGAAGCAGAAAGAAGGAAAGCTCTCCTCCAACCTGGGTTAGGGCTCCTTGATTCTTATTTTGACTGCCTATACTGTGTTCTGTTATTGTTCCCTAGGGCTTCATTCACTTCATTTTCCTACATCTTCTACCACGTGGGCTTTTCCTGAGAGCACTGGAGTCACAGTTGGAAACAGAACAACGCAGTTTAACTTTTAGAGAGCCCTGTTGACCTGAAGAATGCTTTTTATCGAACTGAGACAATGGGAAGACCATCCAACAGTCGCACTGTTACCCTTTCAAACGCACGCCCCACGTTCCAGCGCTG